ATCCTAATGACGTAATTGAATGTAAAAACTTACATCTAGGATTATAGATCCCAACCACCAATACGTAAGGAATGTAAAAAGCAAAGTTAACGATTACAGGAGTTCTTATATCCCATCACGTCAGAATTAAACTATGCCTTAAAAGCAGGGTTTTCATATTCTTTATCATAGTGAGTCACCAACATATTGTTGCGTCAGCGAGTCACATGACTACTGTGACGCAACGTTTCTAGAACTGTCATGTACTTTGGCGAATGCTCTAGTATTTACTAGATAGGGTAGGCTGGTATATATAAGAGGGGGAAAACGTGACGCGGGGAGGTAATGTAATGTGTGTATAGACAGTGAGTAATTGATCTGCAGTCAGAAGTATTATTGAGCAAGTTCGTTGTTATAGCGTTTGTTTAGCGCAATTGTTGAAGTTGAGTGTATCGGTAAAGTTATATTCGGAAAGAATAAACCAGTTTTTATTAAGAAAGAACTTGTGTCGCTTAAGTTTCGTGGGAACGAAGTTACGGAAAAATCAATTAACAAACGGAGACGTAACAAATTGGTGTCAGAGAGTGGGATAAAAAAAAAATGGAAACGAGAAGCGGCAAATCAAACTACAGCATAGCAGACTTGATGGCAGCAATACAAGAGCAGCAAAAGAAACAAGAAGAGAGACAACAGCAGCTGCAAGAAAACCTGCAACAGTGGCAGCTCGAACAAGAAAAGAAACAAGAAGAGAGACAACAGCAGTTGCAAGAAAACCTGCAACAATGGCAGCTCGTACAACAAAATAAACAAGAAAGAAACAGGAACAACGAGAAATTAAACAAGAAGAGAAATTACGACAGTTGTTAGAGGAAAAACTAAAGAAACAAGAAGAACGAGAAAAGAAACAAGAAGAGAGAATACAACAGTTGGGGAGGAAAAAGAAAAGAAACAAGAAGAGGAGAGATTACAACAGTTGTTGGAGGAAAAAGAAAAGAAACAAGAAGAGGAGAGATTACAACAGTTGTTGGAGGAAAAAGAAAAGAAACAAGAAGAAAGATTACA